GTCTCTTGCAAGGGACAGGAAGGAGATTTCCAGATCTTTTATCATGTTTTTCATCTGTGTGCACAGGAGAGTATTCACTGGGTCAAAATTTCTCAAGTTGCCTGCTTATCATTGTAATCTTTTCCTCATGTATGTTGTACTTTAAGAAAAGTTTTTAAAATTTTATAGTTATGCATGCTTCATAAAGTGAATTGGGGAATTTTTCTTTTAATGAGCCTCAGATATTTAAATGTTAGAAATATTTATTCTTGGGACGAGCAGTTAGCATAATGGCTATGTCGCTGGACCCCCACATAGTTGACTGCAGTTCGCGTCCTGGATCCGGTGGCTTAAAACTCATGCCAGGCGCGTGTGCGTGCGTGCCTAAGATCCCGAGAGGAGAATGGAGGAGAAGGGATTGCGGTGTGCCCATCCCCCCTGGGGGGGGTGATTTCTCACTTTCTGTCTCTCTGTCTCTCTGTCTGACGAGCGCGTGCGTCCTATAGCCAAAAAAAAAAAAAAAAAAATCTTTAAAGTCTAGTTAGAACTCACTTATAAAACTAGTCTATTGTGGTATCTTTTCTTCCTGTTTTTATTATCAAAATGTTTAAACATTCATGGGGCCAGCAGGTGGCGTGGTGGTTAAGGTGTTGGACACTCCCACATGGCCAACCACGGTTCGTCTTGCTTTCTCACTTTCCCTCTCTCTCTCTCTCTCTCAGTGTGTCTTTCTCTGGTAAAATTAAAACATAATTAAGTTGATAAATAAATAAATAATTTTAAAAATGTTTAAACATTCATAAGACTAGAGAGATCTGCATGGTCAGCCTGCATATGCCCCTCATCTAGGTTCAATAGCTAGGATTTTACCACACTTGTTTTATTTACTCCTTTTGTTGTGTTTGCTTTGTCCGCTAAGAGATTTTAGCCTCTAAGATGTTACCCATACATACTTAGGTACACATCTCAAAAAAAGGGGGAACATTTTTTCATAACCATAATACTGTTATTTACCAAGAAAAATCAACAATAATTCCCTGATACCATCTTTGTATCCATATTCAAAAATCCCTCATTGTCTCAAAACTGTCCTTTTTTCTAGGTGGTTTGTGTGATTGTCTAAACCTTTGGGAAACAAAGTCTAAGGATCCTATTTGGGTATTAGATCTCTTAAGATTATTTTTATTGCTTGCTACAGGGTGTGTGCACTTGCTAGAGAAAGATGAGAGAAAGCACCTTCAAGGGGTCATGGCCATGCTGCAATCCCTTCTCCTCCATTCTCCTCTAGGGATTTTGGGCAAGCACACACGCCCACCATGTTTTACAACCCACTGGGTCCAGGATTTGAACTGTGCTTTCAGCCATATGGGATTTAGCTACCTTACCCACCACACCACTAACTGGCCTAAGGTTCTTTTTTTTCCTAAGGTTTTTACCATATAGAGTGTGTGAGCTTGCCAGAGAAAGTCAGAGATACAGAGAGAAAGACAATGAGAGGGAAAGTTAAAAGAAAAAAGCAATCCCCCAGAGGTGAAGCCCATGCTGCAATCTCTTCTCCTCCATTCTCCTCCTGGGATTTTGGGCATGGCCATACATGTGCCTAGAGTGAATTTTAAGCCACCAGATCAGGGACTCTAACCATGGTTGGCCATGTTAGAGTCCAGCACTTTAACCACCATGCCACCTGCTGACCCCAGAGTACGTTTTTTTAAATCAAAAACAATCCCTTGCCTCGGCCTGCAAGGCAAGAAGATGTGGACCCCGAGTGGAAGTGGTGGTGGATTTGGAAAAAACAGACACACGAGGAGGGAAAAGCAGGGGTCAGGCAGACTGGGGGTCTCTGATGGAGATCACCATAGCACTGAGCCATTCCCAGCTTTATTCTTTCATAGAGCAATGGGGAAGGAAGAAGCGGAAGGTAAAACCAGGTGTTTTCTATTGCTGACTGCAGCTGTGGAGCATCGTGCGTCCTGTGGTTCGAAACAAGCCTCCCCTGGCCTTCTCTGGCTGACACCCAGCTTCCTTTAATTTACTGTCCTACAGTGCAAAAAGTAGCTCATGTGTTTATTAGAGCTTTTGTTTGCCCTGCAGCGTCAGCACAAAGACCGTATCTACTTTAAAAGTCACTAGTGTTTTGGCCAGATCTGGCCGCTCCGTACAATCCCTCTTTTTTTTTTTTTTTGGTGTGTGTGCAATTGCCTCACTGAAGATTTAGGTCTATCGTTCCTATACAAAGTCCTGCCTTCTCATGTCCTTTAACTTGTTTGTCTATTACATAAACTTATTTAGAAATAAATTTACCGTCTCTCTCTGTCTGGCAAGCACATGTGCCCTATAGCAAAAACCTCTCCAAGAAAAAAAAAAAAAAGAAATTTACTAATTAATTCCACATAAATTCCACTAAATAATCCCACTCTCCTCCCACACTGTCTCTGGTATCTATGTTTGCTTTCTATACTGTCCCCCCAACACACACATTTTATTGAATTACTAAAGGATTATAGTCAGAGTCACCTCTTTTTTTTATTTACTTTTATTTACTTTTTTATTTACTTTTATTTATCCTATGAGTGAGAGAGAAAGAAAGAGAGCCCCTTCTACAGTATCCAAATAGGGTGACCCATTCCCCGCCTCCGCTAGCCCAGATCATTGGCACACCTGTGCCCCACGTATTAGGAGAACTCTCCAGGGGCCGGCAGGTGGTTAACAGCACTAGACTCCTACATGGTTAATTGTAGTTCAAGTCCCAAAACTGGCAGCTTGTTTTTTCGCTTTCCCAATCTCTCTCTCTCTTTCTCTCCCTCCCTCTCCCTCTCTCTCCCTCTCTGGTCAAAATAAAATTAAATTAAATAAAATTAAATTAAATTAAATAATTCTTAAAAGAAGGAGAAGGGGGTATCTCCATAAATGAACCAGTAACCTTCCCACATAAGTCTGTCTTGCACAGAATCATGTTTTACTGTTGTCACTCACCTCTTTTTGGAAAAAAATGCTTCATTGGTGACTCTGGGAATTTCGCATTGCTTCACAACAGACGGAATTGTCTGTCCCTTACAGTGAGTTTAAGACTAAGCAGTGGGCTTGGGTGGTGACGCCTCGTGCCTCTCTGTATGAAGTTCCCATCAACCTCTCATCCAATGGCTTCCATTCACTGACGAGGGTGGCAGGCAGCAGCTGCGAGGCTCCCGATCACCCCTACCCTCTGGTATTTACTCTTGTCTTCATATGTTTTTGTGTTACTATCAGAAATACCTGAGGCTGGGTGATTTATTAAAAAATTTTAAAAGACGTTTATTTATAAAATTCCTTCTATAGGAATAACAGACCAGTTTCTTTCTGGTTGCTGGGAAGTCCAAAGGCAGAGCAAAATGACAGAAAGCATAGCCTTTTTATTTGGAGAGGTTTTTGCTATAGGGCGCGTACGCTCACCAGACAGACAGAGAGAGAGAGACAGAAAGCGAGAAATCACCCCCCAGGGGGGAGGGCCACGCCGCAATCCCTTCTCCTCCACTCTCTTCTTGATATCTTGGGCACGCACACACATGAGCCCGGCGTGAGTTTTAAGCCACCGGGTCCGGGACTCAAACCGCGGTCGACTACATGGGAGTTCAGCGACATAGCCATTACACCAACTGCTGGTCCCAGAAGGCACAGCTTTGAGCAGAAGCAGAGTGTGTTGTGTATCCATCAGTTTCTCTCTCTCTCTCTTTGGGGGTGGGGAAAGAGGGGAAGGGTGCTATAGAGAGAGTGCACTCGCCAAAGAGAGAGAGAGAGAGACACAGGGACAGTGAGAAATCACCCCCCTAGAGGGATGGTCATGCCCTATCCCTTCTCCTCTACTCTCCTCCTGGGATCTTGGGCACCCGGGAACATGCACACATGCGCCTTGCGTGACTTTGAAGCCACCAGGTCTGGGACTTGGTCATGTAGGAGTCCAGCGCCTTAACCACCACACCATCTGCAGGACCCGGTTTGTCCCTTGTTTTGGTCTCAGTCCCTTGGTTTATAAACCCACCATGGAGGGCTGTCCCAGTGTGACCTCATCACAATGACAGGCCTCATCCTGGGATACTATGAAGGAATGAGGGCTTCACACTTACATTACAATCACGTTCCAAGGCAGGTTCTAGGGGAACTTCTAATTACCACCCATTAAGACCAAATTCTAAAACCTAACTAACAACTAACTCCCTTTTGCAATCCCCGAACCATGGTCCGCCATCTGGGAGTCAGTGACGTAACCACTACACCATCTGCTGGTCCTTTTTATCTCTAACAATGTGTCTTAGCTTAACACTGGCTTGGTCTGATGTTAATATATATAGATCATAAATACACTACCTTCTTAAAAGCAATGTTTACACAATACATCTTTTTCCACCCATGCCCAGTGCCCCTCAGTGGTCACCGCCGAGCCACACCAGCTTCCTTTCAACTCACTAAGTTTGTGACGTCTGCCCTGAGCGCTCCTGAATCTCACATGGCTGCTGCCTTCTCGCCCCTCACGTCAGATTCTAGTGCTGCCTGTCAGAACAGAGGCCGTGGCCAGCTAGTCTCGAGGGGTCACCCAGTCATTCTCTAACACACCATCTTGTTTATTTTTCAAAATTTGCCTGAGGTGGCATGCACTCACCATAAAGAGACCGAGAGGAGAGGAGAAAAGTACCTCCCAGTGGAGCGTGATCACGCCACAATCCTTCCTCCTCCATTTTGCCCTCCTGTCGGGATCTGGAGCACTTGCTCACATGGTTGAGCTGCCAGAGCTAAGATTCA